GAGACTGCGCAGTTTCCATGTCACAGACTTCCCCCCAGCCCTACCTCCCTCTTCAGCCTGTGATAGAGCAGTGAGATCTTTGATGCGATGGCAGTGGGAGAAACACTGTTTTGAAGTGCTAGTGGCATCAAGAGGAGATAGCTGCATGTTTCATGACAATAGTAGTATCCCAGCAAATAGGAAAATCAGGCCTGAGGTTTGTATTTCCAAAATTAAAAAAAAAGATCAGATTCTCCTCCTCTGGCTCTTTTCATCTGAGACTGGAGAGCAGAAGAGGGTACAAACTAGAAATGGTAACTCCTTTGCAATTCAGCAAGATTAAAGACTGACTCCAAAGACTGTTTATGCAACTGTGTTGAGCCCTATTACAAACTGTATTGGCATAATGGATCTTTCTGATTTTAATCAGTCCAATTTGTCAAAGTCAGGTCACATTTAGAAAAAGAACCTTAATGTAATGGGACAAGGTACCATAAACTTACATCCTGAGCCAACAACAGTTTGGTTACTGTGACAAGTGACTCAGAAGGGGGTAGGCAAGCAGCAGAGCAGCCTGCAGAGGGCTGCACTCCCAATCAGGAGTCACATGGCCAGCAGGAGCCTACCTGATTGGGAAGAGGGCACAGCTGTGAGTGATAAGAACAGGCCCTGAGCAGTGGAGCCAACAGTTTGCTGCAAGCAGCCAGAGGGGGAACATTGTCTGGCTAGAGCTGCTGCTCATGTAACATCTTGGAGGTACAGGGCAGGAGCTATGGAGATGGGGGAGGCTCCTGATCCTGAGGCATGATCTAAAATTACACCCTGCTGGGGCTGGATGGTGTGATGGGGCTGCCAGTGGTAGGGCAGTCCTCAAGAAATGACTCATCTGTGCCTCCATGGTATGTTTGTGAACAAATCAGGGCCTTAAGTGGGAAACCAGAATCTAGGAGTGGAATTATATTTCTTTCTAGTGATCTACATGTCATTTTGGCATGTACACATGTGTAAAGTAATGCATCCAGGAATAGAATCACTACCCATGTAAGTGACTATGTATGCCTGTACTAGCAACAATGGGCGGTAGGTGGACAAGGGCTTCCCCATTTCTTAGCTACAAGAGTTGAGCATCTAGTGCACTAAGCACACAGGGGGACTCCTGCCACCGTCTCACCCAGAGGATTTGAACCTCAATCTCTCTGTTGTTCCTCAAAACCCATTAACCACCATGTCATGGGTCAGACAATATCCAAGCCTCTCTCCACCATTCCTGTGAAAGCTGAGCATCTGCCAGTTGCATTTTATATAGTCATTTGGGGGTACGAAAAGGATGAGCAATGTAGGAAGAAAGTTTCTCACTCTGAGCTGAAACCAAGGGCCCCTCCTTTTCAGGCCAGCAGCCATGTGCCTGAACAACACACCCTCTGTTCTGTGGTGCTCTTCCTGGCCCCACACATCTCCCCTCATAGCTTCCCAAGGGTAAGGTTTTAAAGAAGTGCTGGAGAGGAACGTAGCTTCAGCACCTACACAAGTTGCCTTAGATGCACTTGTTGCTAAAACATAGAAGGGCCGTCTTCTTAACTCTGACAGTGGCTGCTTTGGGGCTGACTATATTCTGGGGTCTTGGATCCTGCTACACATCCAGAAAAGGTACACCTGTTTGGCTGGGCATGTGTGAAGCTAGTGTAGAGCCTACTGTGCATTCCCAGTCCATACATGGATGTGGATGCGCACACTATACAGCCACATGGATGAGAAATAGAATGGCTACCAGTGTTAAGAGCCAAAATGCCTTAACTGACCAAAAAACTACTTCAATGACCACAGGGGAATAGAATTCCACCCTAATTCCTCCCGTCTTAGCCACTATCGTATCTCTTCTGGGCATGAGAAGAAGCTGCATTTTAGACACCAAATCAGTTTTTGTAATAAAACTTAGGTCCCCAGAGTAGTGGATCCCTAACATGGGCTGGGATGATATAGCTGGTGATGGTCCTGTTCTGAGCAGGGGGTTGGACTATGTGACCTCCTGAGGTCCCTCCCAAGCTTAATTTTCTATGATTCTGTGGCCTACAGAATTTTCTATATGGGAATCCCTCTCTCAGCATTAGGCAGCTGTATTCCACTTCAATCCTAATTTGGAGCCTAAATTCTTATGTGATCTCACTCTAAGAACTTAATATATACTGAAAAAGATCTCTAGGTTTATTCTACTGTAGTTTCACTGTATACGTTTTCATAAGAAATTAGGTTAAATTCTAGTAGTAAACTGCTTTATGAACTTTAAAAAGCAAATGAATAGGTTTGCATGCAGAAATAGAAGTATAACTATAGAAAGAATAGGAGGAGGTGAGAAAGTTTTCTTGTTAACTTCCAAGGGGACAAAATCAAGACAGAAAAGTAGTTGGAGATGGACAGGAAGAGACATCTAACAAATGCAGCTGTAATTAGTATGCTAACAAATGTACTCAGGAGACATAGGGCTCTGACGAGCAAGAGGGCTTCTGTGTCCCAACCTTTAAAATTGCAGAATGTATTTATTGACATTTTCAACAAGTGAGTATTACTAGGACTGAGATTTCATTCTCACTTAGGTCAGTCATATAGCTCTTACTAATCTCATTACTAGCCATACATTACATCTCGTTGTTGGGCTGAGCTCGAAGTTACAAAATTTCTTCAACTATGAGTGATCAGCCACATTGAACTGACTGTGTAAATGGAGCATATTTGTCCTGTCAGATTTTGGTGCCAAGTGCTATTAAGTAGTTTAGAGCACGATTCAAATTTACCTGGTGGAACTGCAGGGAAGTAATCAGGAGTTTAAATATTCACCTTCCTGCTAGTACTCAGACACTTAAGGACCACAGTCAAGTGTCTGGGACTTTGCCTTTTTTTAGTGTGTATGTTTGTTTTTCTTTTAAAAAAAAATAAGTCAAGGAAACAGAGACAGCTGCCTTCATTACTTGGATTCTTGGAATCAGTGACACCTTCTTTAGACTTCAGAAGGTAGGTAAAGAACTTCTCACAGCTATTGGATAGAAATGTTGTTTCCTAGCTATCAGACAGATAACATAAAAGAACAGAAGATAAATGAATAAATACTTTTCTTATACAATTCCTAGGATGACGTAAGATTGCACAACAAATCTATTTTTTCTTTAGTTTTCTAAGATTTAAAATAGTGGTTGTGCTTAAATAAGTTTATTAGTAATGGGGTGCTTTTGGCATGCTGTTATAGTTTTGTGTAAACCAACAAAGGGTACTCCTGGTTAATCAATACAGTGAGTAAGAATCAATAGAGTGGTATTTTACAAAGTATATAAACACCATTTCTTTGGTGCTCTGAAGTCAATTTATATCTTCTGATGTTTTAAATCCTTTGCAAGGGATTGGCAATAACTTCATTAGTATTGTACTAGGGATGTTTTCATTATCTTTATATATGAAGAAAGAGTTAAATAGATGAACAACTCATATCATATTTTCCGAATTATTTAAGTAGGTTAGGTGGTTACATTTTATTGAAACAAATAGAATTAGGACCCAGAACAGAAAAAAGGATTTAGCAATCTAAACCAGGACTAAAATCCAGGAATCTAGGATTACCCCCTGAGGCTTCACAGTTGCATATGCGGCTTTTTTCTTTCTGGCCCCATGAATTCGCTTTCTTTTCTGTGTAGTGACCCAGGTTTAATAGGACAGCTTTCCCTCCTTAATTTAGACAGTCAAATTCTCCTTCTAGTAACAGGATCTGCAACAAGATCTGAACATCCACCTAAATTCGTTGACTTTGAAATCCAGGCCTAATTGTCATGTGTTCTGCAGGAGGGAAATTCTTTCTCTCTAAAAGAACTGCTATTCAGTTCAATCCAATCACCAAAGCTAAAGAGGAAATGTGTTATGATAACTGCACATCAGAGTAAAAAGCCATAGGTTTTTGGTTTTTGTTTTCCACCCTCCAATTCCTTTTCCTTCTTCCTGAGTCAGTTTAATGGGTATCTGAATCTCCAATTCTGAAGCATAAACTCCAGTGTCTGTTATAATTATCGTACAGAGCACCAGTGCATCAACACAAGTTCCAGGTCACACAATGGACCAGCTGTTCTTCTGTTTGTCAGGTGTTTCAGTGGTAGCTGCACATCAGAGTATAAAGCCAGAGGGGTTTTCTGTTTGTTTTGTTTTCATTCCCATTCCCTTCTTCTAAAGTTAGCTTTGATGGGTATCTGCATGCTCAGTTCTGAAGAATGAGCCCCATTGTCTGTTGTAATCATGGTACAGAGCGCCAGTGCATCGGCACAAGATCAAGTTGACACAATGGCCCAGATATTCTTCTATTTCATTGTTTTTTCAGCGGTACTTAGCAACCCAGAATGTCATTATATTATTTCCTGGTCATCTAAATGGCCATTTTTGAGTGTCTGTAGGGATTCTTGGCACTAATTCTATTCGTGGATGAGTAACTCTGCACATGTGGATGGCACAGGAAGAATAGAGTGCCATCCCCTGCGTGATTCAATTCTACCTTTGTTGAATCCCTGAAAAAAGAACTCATACTGAAAAAAGTTGTGTGGGTCCTCCTCCCTTTTTCTTGTTTTTGTGACTCAAGTTCATTTATGGTTTCTTCAAGGACTTTAATAGAATGTAATAGGACTGCACTTGGGAACCTAACTACCACTTAGGCATGAAATATATGGGCTAAGAAATAGTCCAAATCTTCCAGACCTCCACCAGGGGTGCTGTGTTGATTTCCTGCCTTACAGCTAACCTAAGACTCTATTTCCTCCACTGAATTACATTATCAACTTTATTTAAATTGCCATAAATCAGATGCTATTTCATAGTAGTCAAATGCCTGGTTCTAATTTTACCCTGAAGTAAATCAGAAGCGACCTAACTAAAGTTAAAGTATAGCTTGTTTTATTAAGTTCAATTCAATGTGTCAGTGAAGACTTTGTTTCCATGCAGAACACTGTCAAAATACAGTAAGTGGAGTCTAATAATACTTTGTTGCAAAGGAGTTCAGAATTTTGCTCTCCCCACGCCCCCCCAAGATTTTCATCTTTATCCTATTTCACGAAAGTGTGTGTGATCTGGGAATGTCAAGTAAGATGTTCAGAAAATATTTATGTGCCTAACACCTATTCAATTACTTCCTTTGGGTTGGCTCTTAATTCCTCTTTTTCCCTTCAAAAATCTCCCCTTTGATTTCTATTGACATGTCTACACATCGCCTTACGGTGACATCGTTACTATACCATGCTTTAGTACTTCCTTTTGGTGGTTGCTACATCACCATAGCATGTCGTATGGTGACAGAGCATTGCTATGGCGATGTAGGGCGACTCATAGATGTGCCCTATAGAAGCAAGACCAGGTTCTTCAGCAGTTCTGGTTATCCATTACTTATGTGCCCAAAGCTACTGAAATTTATAATAGTGTTTTAAGAAGGTTGGGCAGCCAGGTCCAAATTAAAAAAAAAAAGAAATTAAAAGCTACTTTAGTAACATTTCAGATAATTGATGCACCTTTCCTCTAATAATGTATAGGTCAGGATAGGTGTGCTTAAATATCCATGTGCATGAGAAATCTTATCTTTTTAAGTGCAGATACATACAGATACACACACATACAATTACATGCATATGCATACCCCTACCCCAACCCCTATACCTACACATGAACTGTTTGGGGAGTGAAATAGATAAGAGGTTTATAAAACAAGTATCCATTATCTTAAAATAAGGCCACTGTTTCTCAACATTTCCTGTATTGGCCTCCTAAATGTGAGGCACCATATAACCAATGTAGATTATTTCCAAATACCTTTACAAGTGTATGCAAATAGATTTTTTATAATTTCATTCTCTTTTCAGATGGCACACACTGAGGAAATGCAATGGCGGAACCAAACCACCATAACCAAATTCATTCTTGTGGGGTTCTCAAATCTCCCACACCTGCAAGGCCTACTGTTCTCTGTGGTTCTGTTCCTGTACTTAGTGACAGTGACTGGGAACATCCTCATCATCCTCATTATCACAGAGGACTCTGCCCTCCACTCCCCTATGTACTTCTTCCTCAAAAACTTATCCTTCTTTGAGATCTGTTTTACCTTAGTCACAGTGCCCAAGATGCTGGTCAACCTCCTGGCTGATGACAAAAGCATCTCGTTTTTTGGATGTGCGCTCCAGATGTTCTTCTTCTTCTTCTTTTGCTGTTCAGAGTGCTTTCTCCTGGCAGCCATGGCCTATGACCGCTACGTGGCCATTTGCAACCCACTGTGCTATACCACTGTCATGAATCAGCAGGTCTGCTGGAGGATGGTGGGAGGGGTTTGTATGCTTGGAATCCCTGTTGCCCTGCTTCAAGCAGCTTGGCTTTTTAACTTGCCTTTCTGTGGTCCCAATGTGGTCAACCATTTCTTTTGTGATGGACCACCAGTTCTGAAACTGGTTTGTGCTGACACCTCTCTTTACGAGATGCAGGCCATGGCTTCCACACTTTTGTTCCTCATACTCCCATTCATGCTAATCCTGATCTCCTACATCCACATCACCATCACTATTCTGAAGATGAAGTCAGCTGAGGGCAGGCGCAAAGCCTTCTCCACTTGTTCCTCACACCTCATTGTGGTGACATTGTTCTACGGGAGTGGCACCCTGATGTATCTACGGCCCAAGTCCAAATACTCACCGGATGTTAAGAAGTTCCTGTCTTTGTTCTATACAGTCATCACACCCATGCTGAACCCCATCATCTACAGCCTGAGGAATAACGAGGTGAAGTTAGCTCTGAGGAGGATGCTGGAGCGGAAGGTATTCTCATGGAAATGGTAAATGAGATTTGTAAGATGTTTTTGCAAAATGGTGACTTCTCCAGCATCCTGAAAACTTTCTTATGCAAAGAAACTCCTGCAGACATCTGTACAAAGGGATATTGTATTCTCAGAGTCAGATCTGAGAAAGGGACAAAACAACTCTTTGGAGATTCTTTTCTAGTGACATAGTTTGAATAGAGTTCAGGAAATCTGCTCCCATTCTTGGGTCTTATGCAGGTTTCCAATTTATTTTAGGAATGTCATGTAGGCTGTTATTTGCAAAGAACCTAAGCAGGTTAGGTCCTGAAATCCCACTGGTTTTCAATTGGTATTTTTCTCCTTTTGGCTTCTTGAATATCTCTGGCTAGAAATTCATGTTGTCAAATGAAGTGGATAAGCTCTGCCATGACGCATCATGGCACAGCTGATCCACTTTCTCAGTGCTGTTGCAAGTGGGGGAAGGGGGTGGTGAGCAGGGTGCCAAAGCAAAGGGGCACCAACATGCACTGCCCAGCTGCGGTGAGGCTTGGGATGGAGCCATAAGCAGCTCATTTAAGGGGTTGCAGTGATAGGGGAAGGGCAGCTCGTGCTGCTGTGTGCACTCCTGGGCACAGGTGATGGAAGCCTGAGGCTAGTGGGGCTTAGCCCCTTCAAATGTGGGGCAGTGGTGGCAGCACAGAGGACAACAGGGCAGCCTGGGTGTGGGCTCCAGGCAGCTGCAGCGGGGGGGGGAATTCACACAGACACAGAGGAGCAGCCAGAGCCTGCAGGAGGCCAGGAACCCAGCCTGGCCTTGCCATGTGTGGAGCAGCACCCAGCAGGTAAGTATGTAGGGGGGAAGGAATGGGAGGAAAAAGTCATGGGGGAACAGACTGAGGCCCCCATGGTGAAGGAGGGAATGGGGCAGGGGCAGAGGCTGAGGCAAATGGAGGCCTGGGGTGGGTTGTGGGAGGGTTGGAGCCCAGGTGGCTTGTCCAGGGGCATGAGGGGCTCCTGTCGCTGTGTGCATCCCCGGAGTAGGCATGGGAGGCATGTGCCTCCCCAATCTGTGCGCAGGGTGAAGGTGGACTGCCACTGTGGGCTGGGGCTTTGTGCACTGCTGGAACTGCCCTGGCAGCCATGTCACACTGTGTGCCTCCTGTTAGGCAGGTGGCATTGTGTGGAGGACAGGGACGAGTCAGCAGGGTGCAGAGCCCCCACCTGAAGCAGCAGTCCACCTCTGCCCCACACACACACACACCCCTGCCATGCCTGCCCTGGGGGTGCACATGAAACACCCATGCTCTGACCCTCCTACAAACCACACTGGAGCCCTGTTCATCTGAGCCCCTGTCCCACTCAATCCCTCACTACGGGGGCCTTGATCTGCCCCCCTACAACCCTTCCCTACCCCCACTTCACCCCCTACACACTTAAGTGCTGGGCAGTATCTGTGTGTGCGTGTCTGTGTGTGTAGAAATATATTTTAAGTTTTACCCAGTCCCCCCAAATAAGAACTTCTCCCTCTGCCTATGCTCCCAGGCAAGCATGGGGGAGGGGGGGCGTGTGCCCCAAGACCTCTGTGCATGGTGAGGGCAGGCTGCCACTGAGGACTTTGCCCCAGGTGCCAAACTTTGTTGCTACAGCACTACAGTTTCTGGTACTAAGCATGTCACCTCTTGTCTTACCTTTGAGGGTGTGACACAAGGGCTGATGTGGTCTCCCCAGTTTTTCTGCTCAGTCAGACCCATGCTCTATGCCTGTCTGGGTAGTTAAAAGCCCTTCCCCACTCAGCCAGACCTGAATCTCCATGATCAGAGGATGGGTCTGCATGAGTGGCGAACCCTGACTTCCCATCTTTCAGAGGGGTACCCCAAGGTTGTGAAGGTGTCTCTCTGTAAGTGGGGAAAGCAGGAAGGTGCTCTGGGGCTTGGGGGGCCTGGGGTGGTAGGATAGAAGAGGTAGCCCAGGCTGCCTGTACTCTTCCACCACAGAGGTAATAGAATCTGGTCTTTATCGTGGTCTATGTCTATTACCACGTTTTGTTGTGCGCTTCCTTTTTTCCCCATGTGGTACAGCAAAGATTATCAACATCTATTTGCTCAATAGTTACGTCACCCTTAAAATTTTTATGAAGGTAAAAATAAGACATCAGGCAACATCTTATTTCTGTCCTCTGAGTCTCAGTTTTGAATCCATTGCAAGGAGGAGACAGAGATTATATAGTGATAAAATGGACCTTAAATTGGAAGGGAGGGGAAGTAGTGTTGTTGAAAAAATATTATTAGAAACAGCCCCCCAAAATCACATCTTTGCAAGACAGGAGATGAACTCAGCATCTTACTGACATCTAGGCAGAAACTTTCTGTTGCAAAATTGCTGGAGGCAGGCTGACTGGAAGCAGATGGACTGGAACTGGGACAGGAAAAAAAATTAGTATCCTCAGGAGGACATTCCTGACCATAATATTGTTCATAGCCTATGTGTGCTACCTGTTCAGAAACACATGGGAGTCATGAATAAGTTTCCCAGTGTTGACAACTGCAGTATCTATAGCATCTGAGACTTGATGGAAGTTTGCAAGTTGGTAAAATTCCTGCATGGTCTGTGTCTGACTGCCTGGTTTTTCCTTACAGTGTGCAGAGAAGACAAAGGAGTTGGGGGCATGTTGAATGATAGCCTCTAGTTAGTGGCTTAGGACCCTAAACAACATGGACTTCCTGAGGTCTCTGATTTGGGCATCAATCAAGAGGACAATATGGCTAAAGTACTCATGATCCTGTTGGAGAATTAAATAATTCTTTCAAAGGACATTGCTTTAAAATTAAATTCCCCGTTCTGATTCCCCCAATACAGACACAGAGTCATACTCAGGTGATGTGGTCGGTGCAAGTGTTGAGAATTCCTCCTGTTGATTATGCTGTACTTCAGTCTACTAAACTGCATAGCCAAGCTCTACACCCAGACCTTGTTCAGAGGCACCTAAGGGTGCTTGTTCATGTGATGGGAGTTTAATCCTCACTAAATTAAACAGGTTTATTAAAATTGACATGGTGTGCCTTAACTTATTGTATCACTGTGTACAACTGACAGCTTTTCAATCAAATAAAGCTCAGTGCACAATTCACGGTATATTATAGCAGGGAGTACTGCATAACATCCAGCCCACTGATCTCTTCGGTAGTTGATTGCAGCAGGGGATGCCAGCAAACCACTAATCCCCTCACTCCCAAAACGAATCCCTCTGAAGATGCAGATGCCAGCAGGCAGCCCCACTCCTGCCCCTAGCCTTTGGCCCTGGACTGGCTAGAAATGAGGAGGAGCCCACTGCCCGCCCCAGATTGTAGCCTCCAGGCATTCTTTCCCATTGTGCGGGCACAACATCACAGCACAGTCAGATCCACTGGTGTTCTGCAATTGCAGCAGGCAGCATCACCAAGCCTGCCTGCATGCATGGTCATCTGCCTCACCACACATGGCCCTGGCATGGATGCGTTCCTGGGCCATTCTGCCCCTGGCTTCTCAAGGTCCACCCTTATTCACAATGGTACCTTCACCCCATAATCCACCTGTTTCATAGTTTCATAGTTTCATAGTTACAGGGTCAGAAGGGACCTAATAGATCTTCTAGCCCGACCCCCCGCCAGGGCGGGAGAACAACCCAAAAAAAAACACCCTAAAAACAAAAACGGGACTCAAATGAGTCCAGCCAGGTAAGTATCCAGCCTCTTCTTAAAGATCCCCAGGGTAGGGGCCAGCA